ATTTTCTGCTCTACCTCTGACTCAATCAGAGCCGTTGGGGGGTACAGCCCAGCAATCTGTGCCTTTCATCAAATTCTGATGGAAGTTAAAGTTTGAGAAGCACAACAAAAGAAAACCAAGAATAATGTGAGGGCACTAGACATAAGAAAAATATTTAAGCTTAATATTTTGGTGCTGACATTTTGGTGGATCTTGAAAATTCTGAATTACCATATGATCCTTATCTCCCAGCAATTCCATTCCTTTGTATATACCAAAAGAAATAAATGCAGGGACTCAAACCAAAGTTCAGAGCAGCATTTCTGACAATAGGCAAAAGGTGGAAACAATTCACATATCCATCAACAGATGAATGCAAAATTAAAATGCTGCACACATACAATGGAATGTTGTTCAGTCTTTAAAAGGAAGGAAAGTCTCACACATATTACAACAGGAATGAACCTTGCAAACATGCATAAATGAGCCAGACACGAAAGGACATTGTATGATTTTGCTTCTATGATGCACCTAGAATAAGAAAATTCACAGAAAGTATAATACAGATTACAAAGGCTGGAGATGGGGTGAGGAATGAGGATTATTTACGGGGTACAGAGTTTCTGCTTGGCATGATGAACAAGTTCTGGAAATGGATAGTGGTGAGGCTCGTACAACATTGTGAATATTTTAAAAAGATGCCAAGTTTTTTCCTAGTTGTAAATCCTAGTTATAATCCTAGCTGTGAATGTACTCAAGGCCACTGAATTGTACACTGGAAAATGGTTAAAAGGGTAAATTTTATGTTATATATATTTTATCACAATAGTAAAAAAAAAAAAAAAAACTATCAAGGTTACTAAAAACAAGGAAACTGTCACAACCAGGAGGAGCCAAAGGAGACATGAGGGCTAAATGTAATGTGGTCTCCTAGAAGGAAGCCCGGAACAGAAACTGGATTTAGGTAAAAACTAAGGAAATGTGAATCAAGCACAGACTTTTGTTATTAATAATTGATCAATACTCATTAATTGCAAGAAATTTACTATACTGATGTAACATGTTAACAGTAGGGAAAACTGGGTGTGGGATATATGGACACTCCCTGTATTATCTTAGCAGTTTTTCTCTAAATCTAAAACAATCTAAAATTAACTGCTCAAATAATTAGGTAATAAAAAAAGTTAATGAATTTGGACAGTTTGCCAAAAAAAAATTACAGATAACAAATAAGCATGTAAAAAGATACTCAATATTGTTAGTCATTAGAGAAATGCAGATTAAAACCACAAAACCATGACACAGTTATTTAAATTGCTAACCAAAAAAAAAAGACTGGTGGGGCCAGCCCCAGGGCCTAGTGGTTAAGTTCAGCATGCTCCACTTTGGCAGCCCAGGTTCAGTTCCCAGGCGCAGACCTATACCACTCATTGGCAGCCATGCTGTGGCAGCAACCCACATACAAAACAGAGAAAGACGGGCAAAGATGTTAGCTCAAGGTGAATCTTCCTCAAACAAAAAGAGGAAGATTGGCAACAGATGTTAACTCAGGGCCAATCTTCCTCAGTGAAAAAACAAAAAAGACTGGCTATACCTATCACTGGCAAAGATGTGTTCCAAATGGAATTCTGATACACTGCTGGTGGGAGTATAAAATGGTATATTCACAGTGGAAATCAGTTTGGCCAATCCTTAAAAAGTTAAACATTCATCTATGAGCAACATTCCACTCCCAGGTATTTACTTATTTATGAACAGTCACCTAAGTTCTACTTGTAATATGTCAAAAGTGGAAACGATCTAAATGTCCAGTAATAGATGAATGAACACATTGTGGCAATGTACACTCAATGGAATACCACTCAGCAATAAAAAGGAATGAACACAATACAGACAAGTCTCAAAATAGCCATGTTAAGAGTATACTGTAGGAATCCATTTATCTAAAACTAGGATGGAATAGAATGAAAACCAGCCATGCAAGAGTATACTGTAGGATTCCAAGTATACAAAAATCAAGAAAATGCAAACTAGCATATAGTGACATAAATAAAATCAATAGATACCTGGGGATGGAAAGTTGGGAAGGGAGGGGCGGAGAGATCAGAAAAGAGCACAAGGGAACTACTGGGCCAATGGATATGTTCATTATCACGACTTTGGTCATGGTTTCCATGTGCATACATGTATCACAGTATATTATCATCTATACTTTAAATATGTGCAGTTCAATGTATGTCAATCTCTCAATAAAGTTACTTTATAAATACATTCTGTATAAAATTTGGATCTCTCATTCTTCTTGGAATATCAAAAGACTTGCAAAGCTGGACTGACTCCATTATCACACTCTTGCCATGTCTTAGGTGGATCAACTCTGATTCCAGGCAGCAAACTCTGGAAAGCCAGGAAGCTCATGTCCATCTTGCACCAGGAAGGATGGCTAGATTAGAAAAGACCCATCACTAGACTCTAAGATCTCCCTTCCTCAGTCTTGAAGTTCCTGCCTGTGCAGCTATGGTTTAAAGTAAATAACCCAGGGAGGCTACAGGAATCCATAAAACCTTTGGTTTAGTTGCTCTGGCAATGACCTTGGCTACTGGAAATACACAAGTCTATAGTTCTGGAGAATTTCTCTGCACTCTCATCACACATAGCCAGTTACTGACACCTTCAATGGAAGCTGCTTTAGAAGGGGCTCATCAACTCCACTTTACTTCAGTCTCTCCCACTTCCTATTAATCCAATCACTATTTCTGTACAGAATATGGTTACCTCCTGACCCCTGTATGTCTTACAGTTAAGGACATTTTTTTTCTTTCTGACTTTTCTCCCCAAATCCCCCCAGTACATAGTTGTATATTTTAGTTTTGGGTCCTTCCAGTTGTGGCACATGGGACGCTGCCTCAACATGGCCTCATAAGCAGTGCCATGTCCGTGCCCAGAATCCAAAACAGCGAAACCCTGGGCCGCCATAGTGGAGCACACGAACTTAACCACACAGCGACGGGGCTGGCCCCAGTCAAGGACATTCTTGACTTCAGGACACAGGGCTCCTAGGCAGGTCATGGGAGATAGTGATCCCCCAACTATGCTGAGAACTATGGGACATCCCCTGTGTACAAGGGACCCAATTCATGCTGCTGCCAAATGTCCTGAAGATGAGTAAGCCAACTGCCCCATCCTCAACCCGACTCTGGGAAACAAATAATCTTCATATCCCAAGCAAGGAAATTGGTGTAGAAGTCCTTCAGACTTTCCCAGGAGGACCTGTGCAGCAGTGCAAACTGGGCCAAACATGGACTGACGACAGCTATTCTTTATCCTCTTGCTATTCCCTCCTGAAAGCAAATACAGAGGAGAGGTCCCCACAAAAAACATTCACCTTTTCATTCTGGCAGAGCCTAATGCTGATCTCAATCCACAGCACACAGTGAATAAAACCCCCATGAGTAAATGTAGCTTAATCAATAAGAACTTTATGATCACAAAAACCAGCAGTGTGAGGTGGGGAGTCCCAGGTTGGGTGACTTTGAGGCTGGAAAAATCTACCCAAGCATCACAAGATAACCAAATATACTCACGAAGAAGGGAAATCTCCGTATGCTGCCTGCAGAAGCTGGCGGGAGTCCTCTTGTCCAAAGCTGGGTAATGTCCACACCCAAACCAGGCAGCAGGGAGGGACTGAGGCTCCCCAAAAGTCAAATGACTGGTGAACCCTTCAGGTGAAGGGAGAGAGCAGAGCTTTCTGCCTCCTGAGAGCACTTTAAGGTGATACATACACACTGTGGCACCCGGCCATGTGGTAGAGGAGGGAAGGCTTCTGTAATAGACACCAGCAGCGACTTAATTCTAGCAAGGACTACAGGCAGGTCGGAAAGTGCAAGGTATATTATGAAAGCTTCCAATATACTTGGTACTTAACAGAATCTCCCCAGGATGTTTGGATGTATGAGGTTTAATTTCTGGCTGATAACTCCTTCACGAAGACTAATCTCCAGAGCTTTTACTATGATGTTATTATGTAGAACAACGAAAGAGCACATAGCCTGCACTCCTAAGGTCTTTCTCTAGTTTGAAATTACTAGTGCTGTTTGAGGTTAGGCTAAAGGCTGAATAATCCTCAACATTTTCTGCTCATTTGCTCAACATACTACTATTCTGGGTGTGTGGCTGTTTTATTTTTATTTACTTATTTATTTTGCTGAAGAAGATTCACCTTAAGCTAACATCTGTGTTAATTGTCCTCTATTTTGTCTGTGGGTTGCTACCACAGTATGGCCCCTGATAAGTGGTATAGTTCTGCGCCTGGGAACCAAACCTGGGCCACCGAAGGGGAGTGCACCAAACTTAACCACTAGGCCACGGGGCAGGCGCATGTGGATGGCTGCTTTAGCAGATTTAAAGGTTCTTGATGGCAGTACACAACACAAAGACACTTGGATAGATAAAAGGCAGAATTCTGTTACTTAGGGTTTGGAATGAGAAGGGCATTGGGCAGGACTGTATGGCAGGTTGCAGAGGGGGTCATGGTAAGCAACCTGGGGCTGTAGGGGGCACCCTCTGTACTGTAAGTGGCCTGGAGCTAGCTAGGTTCCCCAGGCTCTCTGTGGATTGTCTAATTTGAATAATTTCAGGGGCTCTGGGCCATAGGGGCTGCCCCTAGTTACCCAATATCTGGCTCTGGGCCATAAGGGATGATGTATAGAGGGTGAGTGCCTGATAAGGACAGTGACTGGGGGCATGGACTTAATCAGCTGCTCCAAAAGAGAAAATGACCAGCATCAAGCCAGGGACTCAAAACTCAGTCAAGGGGCCAGCCCTGCAGCCTAGTGGTTAAGTTGGGCACACTCCACTTTGGTGGCCCAGGTTCAGTTCCCAGGTGCAAACTTACACCACTTGATGGTGGCCATGCTGTGGTGATGACCCACATACAAAACAGAGGAAGACTGGCAGAGATGTTAGCTCAGGGTGAATATTCCTCAGCAAAAAAAACCCCCAAAAAACAAAACACAACTGAGTCAAGACAGTACTTTCATAAAATTATACATCAAAACCATGTAGTGCTGGCATAAAGACAAACACTGATCAGTGAAACAGAACAGAGAGCCCAGAAATGAAAGCCAGCATATTCAGTCAAATAACTGACAACAGTGCCAAGACAATTCAATGGGGGTAAAACAGTCTTTTCAACAAATGGTGTAGGTGAAAGTGGATATCCACATTGAAAGGAATGAAGTTGGACCCTTACCTTACACCAAACAAAAACAAACCCAAAGTGGATAATGTACACCCATAAAATTCTTAGACGAAAACAGGGCAAAGGCTTCATGACACTGGATTTTGAAATAATTTCTTGGCCATGACACCAAAAGCACAGGAAACAAAAGCAAAAATAGATAATTGGACTATATCAAAATTACAAACTTCTGTGCATCAAAGGACACAATTTAGAGTGAAAAGGCAACCTCCTGAATGGAAGAAAACATCTGCATATCATACTTGACAATCAGTTAGTATCTAGATTACATAAAGAACTGCTACAAGTCAATAAGAAAATAACCAGATTTAAAAAAAATGGACAAATGTAGACATTTTTACAAAGAATACACACAAATGGCTGAATCTATGATCATTAGTCATTAGAGAAATGTGAAATAAAACCACAGTGAGATCCTACCTCACACTCATAAGGATAAGGATAGCTGAGATTTCAAACAACACAGAAAATAAAGTGATGTTGATGAGGATGTGGAGATACTAGAATTCTTGTGGACCTTTGATGAAAATATAAAATTGTGCAGCCGAGATAGAAAACAGTTCCTCAAAATATTAAAAATGGAATTACCATGTGACTCAGCCATTCCACTTCTGGCTACATACCCAAAAGAATTGAAAACAGGGTCTTGAGGAGATATCTGTGCACTCATTCTCATGGCATTCTTCACAACAGCCAAAATGTGGAAGCAGGGGAAGTGTCTAGCAGTGGATGAATGGATAAAGAAAATGTGGTATAAATATACAATGCAGTATTATTCAGCTTTAAAAAGGAAGGAATACTGAAACATGCTACATGATAGGTGAAATTTGAGGTTATGGTAATTGAAGTAAGCTACTCACAAAAAGACAAACACTGTATGCTGCTTCTTACATGAGGAAGCTAGAGCAGTCCAATTCACAGAGACAGAAAACAGAATGGAGCTTGCCAGGGGCTGGAGGAAGAGAAGAGGAGTCATTGTTTAACGGGTACAGAGTTTCACTTTTACAAGATGAAGAGTTCTGGATATTTGTTGCACAACAATGTGAGTGTACTTAACAGTACTATACACTAAAAAAATACTTAAAATGGCAAAGTTTATGTATGTGTATTTTACAATGAAAACAAATCCAAAAGTACATAGCAGTACTACACAGTGCCAATCAGAGCAGACCTTTGGCTGAAGTCTTTTCCTCATTTGCTGCACTCATAAGTTCTTTCTCTGGTATGAACTTTTTGAAGCCAAACAAGTGAGAGTTTTGGCTAAAGACGCTCCCACATTCATTGCATTCATAAGGCATTTCTCCAGTGTTGCAAATTCAACAAGGTTTAATGAGGCTGGAGTCGTATGTAAAGACATTCCCATACTCACAGTTCTCACAGGGACTCACATCAATGAGAACTCTAGGTGTGCAAGGAGTCTGGATTCATAGCACAAAAACTTCCCACATTAGATGCACTAATAAGGCCTTTCTCTAGTGTGATTTGTCCCATGTCTAATGAGTCTGGAGTTCCAACTAAAGAATTTCCCATATCACTGCACTCATCAGGCCTTGCTCTAGTGTGAATTCTCTGGTGTCTAATGAGTGTGAAGCGGTACCTAAAGAATTTCCCACATTTGCTGCACTCATAAGGCCTTTCTCCAGTGTGAACTCTCTGATGAATAATGAGTGAGGAGCTGTCCATAAAGAATTTCCCACATTCCTTGCACTCATAAGCCCTTTCTCCAGTGTGGATTTTCTGATGCTCAACAAGTTTATGTTTGCGTCTGAAAGCTTTCCCACATTCCTTGCACTCATAAGGCCTTTCTCCAGTGTGGATTTTCTGGTGCTCAACAACTTTGTCTTTGCGGCTAAAAGCTTTCCCACATTCTCTGCACTCATAGGGTTTTTCGCCACTATGGATTTTCTGATGCTCGACAAGTTTATGTTTGCGGGTAAAAGCCTTCCCACATTCACTGCACTTGTAAGGCCTTTCTCCAGTGTGAACTCTCTGATGTCGAGTGAGTGTGGAGTGGTTCCTAAAGAATTTTCCACATTCACTGCAACCATACGGTCTTTCTCCAGTGTGGATTTTCTGGTGACCAGTGAGTTGGGACAGTCTAAGGAAGGCCTTCCCACATTGGCTGCACTCAAAAGGCCTTCTTGGCCTGGTGTGAATTCTCTGGTGGTCACTGAGGCCACATATTTGTTTAAAGAATACTTCACATTCTGGGTGCTCATAAAGCCTGGCTTCAGTGTGGACTTTCTGCTCCTGATCAAGGTGGGACTTTCTAAGGAAGACCATCCTGCATTCTCTGTACTCATAAAGCTTCTCTCCACTGTGGATTTTCTCATGGTCAAGAAGTATCTGTTTATTGCTGAAGGCTTTCCCACACTGAGTAAACTTGTAATAATTTTGTCTATTTTCAAAGGCATCTCCACCTAGAGTATCCCTGTGTGGCTTCCCCCAACTGTGAGGGGCTGGGGGATGCAGAAGGACTGTGCCAGCTGGGAAGCCCTTCCCACCTTCGAGGCACGTCAAGGTCCTCTCTGTCATGTGAACATTACTTTTCTTCACAAATAAAGGCCCCCCGTTGTCCCTTCTAGAAAGTTTCTTGCTAATCTGTTGCCTTTGGTGCTGGTACAACTTTGCATCACAAGTGTACAGTCTTTGTTCAGGGTGTGTTCCATTGTGCTCAGCCAGGCACAAAATGTCTTTCAAGAGTGAGCCACATCTTTCACAGGGCTGGACCTTCTGGATGGACAGACTTGGCTTTGGAGTCCTGACCTGTGACACTTCCACAGAAACACCTTGCTCTGAAGTTGCCTCCTCATTCTGGGCTCCATGCCAACAACCTGTAAGCAGATAAATGCTGGTGAAGTGCACATTGACCTTGGTGGAAGGAGGCACCCCCACCAGAAATGTGTCAGACACACCCACAAATAAGTCCATGGGATTGCTGAGAGGTAATGGGAACTAGAGCCAGTGAGAGGAAGGCCTGCTCTGTGGAGCTGGGCCTGGGAAGCTCACATGATGGGAAGGACACAAGGAAAGGGGTACAGTGCAGGGAGGAGAGGCAGGGTTTCCAACTCACTCCTCTGCAAATGGCTTTCAACAAGGTCATGGCTGCTGGTAACTGGTGAGCACTGAATAGGAGATGTGTCCAGACCCAGAAATCACTGATTGCAACACAGTAGCTGATGTCCAAGGACTATTTATTTAAAGATATCGGCAGACCTCACAACACCTTAAGTGTAGGTCACATGTCAAGAGCACCACAAAGGGAGCAGTGGAAGGGAAAGGATGAGAGGTGGAGGCCACAAAAGTTGAGGAGCTGGGGACCCAGGGACTGGAAGATTAGAAATGGCAATGAGAAAGAAAAGATAGACATGAGGTATGACCACTGTCCCTGGCATCATGCAATGGTCGGCACAGGCCTGGTTCCCAGTGTGACTGGAACCCAGCTCTGACGACACACACTTTCCCAGCTTCTAGGGCTATTTCCTGCTGCCACTGATGGGGTAATGTCCACCTGTCAGGCACCCAGGCCCCTCTCCCTTCTTCAAGGTGAGCACCTACATAGGACCTGGAAGAGGCCAACCTAGGTGAAATGCAGGGCAAGGGAGTGGCCAGTATGCCCCCAGAGCAATCCAACACACAACAGCCCACAATCTAAAATCAAAAGAACTTGAGAGGAGAGTCTTGCAGAACCAGTGGTCTCTACAAGTAGTGACCACATTGGTGGCTGAAATTTTTAGCACCAGCACACCCCAAGAGATGTCAGGAAGAAGGGGGAAGGCCTTGGGTTCCATCAATCTGAACAGAGTCACCCAAGCAGGAACAGGCCAGATTTGAGGGATCACTCAGACAAACTTCAAGATTTCTCACTCCTGAGCCCTGTCTTGGAAGGCCTCAGAGCAACAGGGAAGGGTCTGCTTGGGAAGAGCAAGTCCAGTGCACACAGTCCAGCCCTGACACCAACAACACATATGCCAGCAAACCAGGAAAGGAAGTGGTACCCATGGTCTCATTGCAGGAAAGAACAGGACCCAGTCCAGGACACTGGGGTGGGTATGAGGGCCTTACCTAGTGATGATAAAAGTGCAAAGTTCTCCAGCATCACATGACGGTACAGGCTTCTCTGAACCTCATCAAGAAGGCCCCACTCCTCCTGGGAGAAATGTATGGCCACGTCTGTAAAAACCACAAGTCCCTGCCCACATGAGGACAGTTCAATCAATGTGCAGCTTCTCTCTCCAGGATCTTTAGTCTTTCTCCCCACAATTCCATCCCCTCCTCACGCTCTACCCCAACTTCCCAGTGTGGAAGAGATGCCAGGTCTGGTGGCACCGGTGTCTGCTCTCTCCTCATTTCCACTGACCACTGTGTCCAGAACACAGTAAACATGGAGGAGAGCACAGAAAAGTAGAATCTAAACTCTGGGCCTGGAATGAGGGCTCTACCCCTCTTTTTACCAGTATATATCCTCAGGTCCCCCAGAACTTGCCTCCCAGACAAGGAAACTTGAACTCATCTTTCTCCCTTAGGCATCCAGTGCCAGGGCCTGCAGCTAAACATTAACATTCCTCCTCACCTGCACATCATTCTTACACTAAACCTCTCTACATATTTGGGTCCTCCACTTTCGCAACTCGGTTACCGAGACCCGATGGCCCATGCTAAAGGCATTTCTTTCTTTTTTCTTTTTAAAGATTGGCACCTTTGTTAGCATCTGTTACCAATCTTCTTTTTTTTCCCCCTTCTTCTTCTCCCCAAAGCTCACCAGTACATAGTTGTATATTCTAGTTGTAGGTCCTTCTGGTTGTGCTATGTGGGATGTCACCTCAACATGGCCTGATGAGCAGTGCCATGGCCACACCCAGGATCCAAACCAGCGAAACCCCAGGCCGCTGAACTGGAGCACACGAACTTAACCACTTGGCCACGGGGCCAGCCCCTAAAGGCATTTCTGTGGCCTCGCAACATGCCACTGTGCACACGGAATACAGGCAGTATTTTGCAAATGGAATCAGCATTCTATTTTGCCCCATCCTGCCCCAGAATGCCCATGTTCCTTATCACAAGAGAGCTCCAGGGTCCCTTTGTGGTTCTCCCCACCTGGCCCTGTCCCCTGTGTCACACTCAGCCCCCCAAACCTAACATGAAGGCCTTATGGACTCCTGGCCCTCCACCCCTTCTTCACTGCACATGCTGTCCTATAAGCAGTCATGAACATTCTCTCTTTACCTGACCCTCACTAAAAGCACAGCTACGCCTAACTCCCCATCCCCAACCCAGACCTAGCAATGCTCCTCGCTGATCCTTTCACACCTCAACTAATCTACCAGCCTGAATGAAATAATCCAAGCTTGACCAAGAGTCACCACAATACATTTCTAAGTCCCAAGACGCCCTGACATGTGGCCTCCTTCATGGAGATGCTTCAACATCTATCTCCTATCTTCAACCACCCTTGAAAGCCTTCCAGACTCCTCTACCCTTATCCCTCATAGGCACACCCCACCACAGCCACTCTGTTTCCTCACCTGTCTTTGTGATGTCCACCAACAACTACCATCCAGGATCCCAACAAGAGATACAAATCAAATCTTAGCCTCCTCCTTCCCCTGCCTGCCATAACCTAACAACATCCCTTCTGAAAACTGATGCACAGCAACACTTTGTTCCACACACTGGCTACTATATTGTGGCTATCGGCAACCTAAATACATCCCCTGGACTCCAGACCTGTGTGTCCAACTGCCGACTGGGCACCTCCACTCGGAGTCTCTGGAACATCTATGACAAAACCTGACTCTTCCTATTCCCTCTGAAAACCCCTCCTATTGCTGACTTCCCCATCTCAACTGAGAGGACATCCATCCTTCCAGAGAAAGCCAAAAACCTTGAGGCCATCCCTGACTCCCCCTTCCATCTCATCTCCCAGCTCCCTCACTCTCCTCGTCCCTAAAGGGGGTAGCTCTGTTCAGAACATATCCAGAAGGTAACCACTTCTCTACCTCCATAGCCACCACACTTGTCCAGCCACCACCAATGCTCACCCACACCGCCACAGTAACTTCCTCCCAGGTCACTCTGCCTCCACTTTGGCTCCCAGAGAATCTCCTCCATTCTGCAGCTAAACATAGCCTGTTAAAATCCAGGTCAAATCACCTGGCTCCTCTGCTCCAAACCTTCCCTAGCTCCTACTTCCCTCAGATTAGAGGCCCAGAAACTCAGGTTGTAGTTTTAGACCTGACAACTGTGCACCCCTATCCTCCAAACACTCCCCCCGCTCCCGTGTATTCCCACCAGATATCAGACTTTCAGTTCCCTCAACAATCCAGCTATCTCACCTGCAATCATTTGAAAATTCTGGATGCTGTGGACCCTTCCACAGTTTACCCCAATGGCTGTCAGAAATGGGAACTACTCCATAGAATCCAGGACTGAGTTCAAGACCCTGGGCCTTGGAGAGACCACAGGGACTTCAGACCCAAGGGAGGGAGAAGGAATAGGTGAATAATCACAGGACAGCATCACCCTTTATATGGGAGTGGCAAAACCATCGGGGTGATAATTGGGGTGGATGAAGGTCTGACACATCTTCCATTCACCTCTACAGGGTCCATAGGCATTTTTGCAAATGTCATGGGAACCTGCAGGAAGAGGGAGGCCAGGAGAAATGGGTAACCATGGTAATATTCTATAGCCTAAGCTGGACCACCATCCCTGCCTTGCTCTGGAGCAAAATGATCTCAGCCTGATGGTGTAAGCTCAGTTTCTTTGACCTCAGTGCCACTACTATCAGTTGTGTGACTTTGCATAAGGACTGAACCTCCCTGAGCCTCAATTCCTTTACTGCAAAATGGGGATAACAATGATTCCCACCATATAGGGCTGATAATAGTATTAAACATAAACAGTACACACTACCCGTCAGCTGTAACTCTCTAAAGGATTAACAATTTTGTATGTTTTCAGTGCAAATGAAGGGAGAGGGTTTTGAAAATCTGGGTTGGCATAACTTCTACTTTTGAAGGTTTTCAGAAAATGGATATATAACATCCACTGTTAGAAAATATTACAGAGAAATTAACATTTCAATCAATTTTTATAAAGTGTTGGCAGATTTAATTTATTGAAGATGTTCATTTCTAACTGCCTACCTATGCGTAAACATTTAGAAGGATGTTGCTTACGCTGTTTTGATCAATAAGTGTTTCATACACTATGAACTTAAGGAGTTGTAGGGAGACTCTGAGCAGGCAGTTCAGCTACACTTTTGTTCAGCAAACAAGCCTGTCTGCTACACAGTCCTCTGGAAGGCACTTGCAGCAGCCCCTTGAGAGTAGTACTACTTCATTCCTCTTGCCCTGAGGTGTGGAGGTGAGACAGCAGTGCCCTTGTCTGAAATCTGTCTGCTCCACAAACCTGACCGTTTTTTGTCCCACAGGGATTGTCCCAGAAGATCAGTTGACCTGCAGGGCTGAGTCTACACCACCTTACACTTCTATCTCCATCCAGGCCACCAACTTATCACATCCAGGCATCCTGTTCCACAGACACAGGCCAGAATACCTCCTGTGCCAGATATGCTCCTTTATAGAGGGAGCATCAGGAATGCTGAAACCCCTATGCCCGACACTCAAAGTCTCAACCCTCCTGACACTAACTAGAGGACCCATGAGAAATAACAACCTTAAGACACTCTCCTTAATCTAATTCCAGGTCATTACCCGGGCCACTCCGAACACTCGACCACGTTGAAAGCTCCATCCCAGGGCCCTTCCAGGGCCTCCACACCTTTACGTCCACAAACTCATGTGATGTCTCCATCTTAGGGCATCTCCATCTTGACACATCTTAGGATCACACGTCCAAAATCCAACTCATGATCTTCCCGGGGAAACGTGCTGCTTGCGCTGACTTCCCCATCTTTACACTTTCGGAAATTCAGGCAAAGAAACCTGGAGACGATCCTTCAATCCCTACTTTTGCTCACAGGATACGTGAAGCATCAGGACAACCTATAGGCTCCACTGTTGAGATCTAACCAAAATCTCATCACGTCTCCCCTCGACCGCAACCACCCTGATCCAAGCCGATCATAAATCTCCGCAGTCTGTTGCGGGGACCTCACTGGGCTCCATTCGCATCCTAGTTTTACCCGCTTCAACCTCCAGCTCCAGGCGGGCCTCTCCCGACCGCCGCCCCTCACAGCCTCCAGGGCTTCCGGCTGCTCAGGCCCCCACTGAGGGCGGGACTCCTCCTGACCCCCGCTCCCTGCGGAGAGGACGCCCCCGGCGGTCCAAAGGCTGCCGACCCCCGAGCTCCCGCAGCCCCGCCCCCACCACAGCCCAGCGGCTCCCACTGCACCACGCCCGCCCCTCCGCCCGGACCCCGAGGCCGCGCCCCTCCACCCGGGCTCCAGCGCTCGGAGGCGGCATTCGGACCGGGTGAGGCACGGGGAGGCACCACCCACCTCAGGCGACGCCATCGGCGCGGCCTCAGCCACCGACCAGCGGACGGGCGGAACCGGGACCACGGCCGCCGCGTCCCCACCGGCTCCGTCGGGCCTCACAGCCACCTCTGCGCAGCGGAGACAACGTCTCCTGTCGCGCTTTTCGGCTCCGTCACCTCGGTGCCCACAAAGCGCCTGCGACGCCCTGAACCGGCCAAAAACCCGAGCGCTACCAAGTGCACGAGAAGGAACGCCGGAAGTCCCGCCCTACAGGATGGGAACGCACGTAGGCATCCCACTCCTAACCTTTCACTGGCTCAGTTGCCGCCGCTCACCGTAGAGGCTTCTGGGTATTGTAGTTTCCACTACAGGCACCTCGCTCGAATCTTAGACCTTAAGTTGCTCCCTACCCTCGGGATAAAGACAAAGTGGCAAGCCCAGGGGTCTTGGGACAGGGAGCTCCAGGCTTCCAAAAATGGAGCGGGATTTCGCTTGCTCTTAAAGAGAAAGTACCCAGATTTCTTGGAGAGCAGTCCAGCAAGTCAACGAAAGGTTAGAAACTACTTTCAGAGCCTATGAAGTACAGCAAGTTACACATTCAAAGGGACCACCCTATTGTAGTGACACTGTGACCACTCACAGCCCTCAGCTATCTTGTCTCCTTTCAAGTACACGTAGACTGAAGTCAAGTTAATGAGCTTCTGCGATATGTGGCGCAGAAAAGACTCCAGACACAGCCACGGCGGGAAAGATGGAGGAGGGATGGCAGCAGGCACAGAATCACGGATGAAGCTGTGACTCCAGTTTCCAGAAAAACATCTTTGTGTCCCTGTAGCCGTGACCGTGTTTGAAACCAGTGACCAACACATTTCTTCAAATAATATTTATTACTCCATATGAGATAATTTTCAATCTTTCAAGAATCTGAAACCTATCTGAAAAGAATAGTGACTTATCACACACCATCTTCTGCCAGGACAGTGTGTGCTCTTGGGAGCATGTTGTCCCCAAGACAAAGGTGTGGGATCACATTTTCTCGGTCAAGTTTTAGCAAGAGACAGTTAAATCTGAAAAGCCAGAGAATGAAGCTGAGGATGTGGCTGTGCTGAAACCTTGGCCACACTCAGGCTTTTGTCTCCAAAATGTGATTCTTTTTCATACTTGAAAATGTGGCTCGTTAAATGCTTGGTGGGATAGAAACAATATTTTGAAAGACTTGCCAGAAAAATGAAAATGAATAGGGAAGCTGTGCGCTGTCGTTACTGATCTAAGCAATGTTCAAGGAGCACCTTCTGGGTTTCAGGCGCAAAAGCAGGAGTAGTGGACAACCCAGGAAGGGGGTTGCCAGCTGCCTGCATATAAAGGACTGTTCTGTCGTCTTAGATTCTGTATTGGTCTATTTAGCATTCATTTATCACAAGGCCAAACTAAAAGTCAAAGATGTGTACTTCTCCTTCGTGCAAGTCAGCTTGCACAGGCTTGCAAAACTTATTACAAATACCCCAAGGACAAACTCTAACGTGTTCTGGCTTCCTGCCCTAGGGGATGACCACCTGTGTACTCCCTGGCACTTTAGTCACAAAGGCGTAATCCCAGATTCTCCCCTGCCCCTTCCTTCCTCCATGTGACAAGATTTCATGTGGGCCTCCCTGGTGTGCCCTGCCTCTCATTTGCAGGGTGTGAAGAGTTTAGCTAAGTTACTCCATGGTATCGCTGCCTCGGCATCCATTTTGTTTGGCCTAGCAGCCTGCAGGGACTCTAAACCAACACTCACCCCCCTCACAGAAGCACATGCCCCAGACAGCAGCCCGCAGAGTCACAAGCAAATCTAAGTTCCTGACATGACTTTCCAAAGCCCTTGTGATCAAGTCTTCCCTGCCTCCCAGCACCTGTGTGCCCCATGTCCCCCTGGAGCTTACCAAAACTCTGCTCTTTTCGGTATGAATTGACCAACCTGGACTTATCCCGGGAACCCCAAGGCACTGCACCCACAAACCCTAAGAAAGGCATGTGCCCCAGGTCCTGCCACTCTCTCTCTGCCTGACCCTGCTTTGACCTCCCTGTGTGGCCCCTGGAGGTGTGCCATGTACTTCCTCCACCACCTGTGAGTAATAAACTTCTCCACTTTGACTTCTCTTGTGGTCTTGGTCTGTTGTGGAACTCACCATCTGGCACCCTGTGCTCCACTTCACAATTGTTAATTTAAGAAAGTCATAAAGGGGCCAGCCCCGGGGTCAAGTGGTTAAGTTCGCACACTCCACTTCACGGCCCAGGGTTTCGCCAGTTTGGATCCTGTGCGTGGACATGGCACCGCTCATCAAGCCATGCTGAAGCAGCATCCCACATGCCACAACTAGAAGGACCCACAACTAGGGTATACAACTGTGTACTGGGGGGATTTGGGGAGAAAAAGCAGGGAAAAAAATAGTCATAACACAGGGATGTGTTGAGTAACACAACTTCCCGTTCAATGTCCCAGACATCTCCATATTGCCATTCACTCACCTCTATATGAAGATCTGGGCACAATTCAAGGACATGACCTGTATTTAATGAGTTGGTCCTCCTTCCTATATTGCCTTTGTCAGGATGCCCTCCACAGCCTGCATTCAGCTTTTTACAATACATCATAAAATAGTTGACAGGTAGGGACTTAATTAATTCCTAGCATCTTCCCTAATTTTGGCCACTTCCCACTTAGGACCAACCAGAAAAAGCCAACTATGTACTCCTAATGAATCACACAGGAGCCCCACTTCTACTTAGCCCCACTGCTGCTTCACATGCCAGCATTTCATAATCAGGGCATAGTGGACATCTTACCTTTCTTCCATTATAAAGTATTCCCAATCCTCTGCTTGCCTTTGAGTCTCTGCCAAATGCAGGTGATGGTGAATAAATAGGCTTTATTTATAAAGAGTGGAACAAAACTCATTGAAATAGAAAACAGAAAATCTATACCATAAAAAGCGATGAAACAAAAAGTGTTTCTTTTGAACAATCAATGAAATTAATGGTAGGTAGACCGACCAAAAAATAAGAAAAAAGAGAAATTAAGAAAATCAAGAATGAAGAGGACATCTGACTACTGACCCTACAAAAATTAAAAATATTATAAGGCGGGATGGCCAAGTAGAATAGTGGTTAAGTTCACATGCTCCACTTTGGCAGCCCGGGGTTCACTGGTTTGGATCCCAGGTGCAGACCTATACACCACTCATCAAGCTATGCTGTGGTGGCACAGCACATACAAAACAGAGGAAGATTGGCACAGATGTTACCTCAGTGACAATCTTTGTCAAGCAAAAAGAGAAAGATCGGCAACAGATGTTAGCTCAGGGCCAATATTCCTCACCAAAAAAAAAAAAGTATTATGCGGAAATAGTATGAACAACTTATCTACCCAAATTTAAATGAGTTAGATGAAATGTACAAATTCCTTCAAAGGCAGAAATTCTTACAATTGACATAAGAGGGAGAAAATCTACAGAGAACTATACTAAGTAATAGTTATTGAAAATCTTACCACAAGGAAATCCCAAGTCCAAATGTCTTCAGAAGGAAATTCTATCAGATATTTACAAGAAATGTCACTAATCTTCACAAATTCTGCCAGAAAATAAAAGAGAAGGAACATATCTAAACTCATTCTATGAGGTCAGAATTCCTCTGATCTCAAAGTGAGACAGAGACAACACATGAAAACTACAGAGCGATTAACCCTTATCTACATAGATATAACATGTATAAAAAATTACCATAAAACCAATTCTGCGACATACATAAAGGATAATACAGCGTGAGCAAGTGGGATTTGTCTAACCGGGAATGCAAGATTGATTATCATTTGAACATCAATCAATGGAATATATCATATGAGGGAATAAAAGACCAAAACAAAGAAACAAAAGAACTCCACCCCTTGAACATCTCAACAGATGCAAAAACAATTCGGGGAGCCCAGAAATAGATCCACGCAAATACTGTCCACTTATCTTTGACAAAGGAACAAAGGCAGTTGAATGGAGATAGTCCATTCAACAAATGGTGCTAGAATTGAATGGCCCTATCTAAACAAAATGAATCCACACACAGAACTTACACTTTCCACAAAAACGCACTCAAAATGGATCACAGACCTAAATGTAAAACACAAAACTATAAAACTCCTAGAAGACAACATAGGAGAAAGCCTAGATGACATTATGTTTGGTGGTAAATTTTGAGATACAACACCAAAATCACAATTTATGAAGGAAAACTGGCTAAGTTAGAATTGATTAAAATAAAAAATATCTTTTCTGCAAAAGACACTGTTAAGAGAATATGAAAACATGGTCAACATCATATGTCATTAGGCAATCGAGGTAAACAACCAACCAAAATTTAAAAACCAACGAGATACCACTACCCACCCACTGGAAAGGCTAAAATTAAAAATGCTGACAACATTAAATGCTAGCAAGGATGTGGAGCAACAAGAACTCTCATTCATTGCTTGTGGGAAATCACAACAGTATAGCATCCCTGGAAGGCAGTTTGAAAGTCTCTCACAAACCTAAATATACTCTTGCCACGGAATGCAGCAATCATGCTCCTTGACACGTACCCAATGAGTGGAGAAGTGATGTTCACACAATATCGCCACATGAACGTTCAGGAGCTTTATTCACAGTTGTCAAAATTTGGAAGCAACCAAGATGTCCTCACATAGAAGAATGGACAAACAAATTTTGGTACCTTCATACAAGCAATATTATTCAGTGATAAACAGAAATGTGCTATCAAATCATGAAAAGACATGGAGGAACTTTAACTGCATATTACTAAATGAAAGAAGCCAATCAGAAAAGGCTGTTGTGGACGATTCCAACTATATGACAGTCCAGAAAAGGCAAAACTACAGAGATACTAAAAAGATCACTGGTTACAGAAAGAAAAGACAACCAACTGAATGGGGAGAAAATATTTGCAAACTGTACATCTCATACAGGGTAAATCTCCAAAATACACAAAGAACTCCTACAACTCTATAACAAAAAACTAACAACCTGATTTAAAAATGGGCTAAGGCCTTGCATAGTCATTTCTTCAAAGAAGACATACGACCGTCCAACAGGTATGGGAAAAAATGCTCATTGTCACTAATCATCAGAAAAATGCAAATCAGAACCATAATTAGATATCACCTCACACCTATCAGGATGACTATTATCAAAAAAGCAAGAGAAGTCTTGGGAAAGATGTGAGAAACTGTAACCATTGAATACTGTTGGTGGCAAAGCAAAATGGTGCAGCTGCTACGGAAAACAGTATAGAGTTTCCTCAAAAAACTAAAAATGGAACTACCCTAGGATGAAGTATTCCCATCTCTGCGTATTTATCCAGAAGAACTGAAATCAGGACCTGGAAGAGATATTAGCAGTTCCATGCAATATTGAAGATGAGAAAACAACCTAAATGCCCATCAACAGATGAATGGATGATGAAAATGTGACACACACAATAAAATATTATTCAGCCTTTAAGAAAGAAGGAAATTTTGCAATATGTGACAACATGGATGCACCTTGAAGATACTGTGCTAAATAAGCCAGACACAGAAAAACAAGCACTGCATGATTCCACTTATGTGAGGAATCTAAAATAGTCATTCATAAAATCGAAGACTGGAATGGTGGTTACCAGGGACTGGGGGGAGGAGGAAATGAGTTATTAATAAACAGGCACAAAGTTTCAGTTAAGAAACATGAAGAGCCTCTAGAGACCTGCTGTACATCATTGTACCCATAGGCAATAACAATGCATTGTGCAAACCTAACATTGGTTTGATTTCATATTGTGTTCCTACCAAAAAAAAAAAAAAACCCAGTGGTTGCCAGGGGAGAGGACAGAGGAGACAGTGTGTAAACAGGTGGAGCACAGAGGATTATTAAGGCAGTAAAACTATTCCATATGATACCAGAATAGTAGCAATATGGCATTATACATTTGTCAAAACCCATAGAATGATGAACACAGAGAGTGAACCCTATGTAATCCGTGCACTTTAGGTAATAATCATCATCATTTGGCTCATCAGTTGTAAGAAATGTCTCACACTAAAACAAGATGCCGTATCGGCAAACTTCTACTGTGAGGATGGTGGTTGTGAAGGGGAATATGGGAACTCTATACTTTCTGCCGAATTTCTCTGTAAACTTAAACCTGCTCAAAAAATAAAGTTTAATTTTAAAAATGTTAATTATTCACCAACTCTATGAACCTGCCATTCTGTTCCCAGGTATTTAACAAAGAAAAATAAAACATACATCATCACTGCAGTCCTAGACCCTCCTGTGAGGTACACATGATTGCTTCCACATCACATCACACCTGCTTCCCAAAGTTTAGTAATTAGAAGGACTTGGCATAATACGCTTACATTTAACTTGTTTTTCTTTAATACCAATGAGTCTGAACATAAGTTCATAGCCTTGATAGCCATGTGGTTTTCCTCTACAGGTGATGATATGCTCATACTTTGGTTCATTTGCAGGGCCTCTGACAACATATTCTGAAATAAGAATCTACATCTTGTCTAATACTGAGCAAATATAGATATTTTAAATGTTTTCTCTCAATCCTGCAACTCTATCTAAATTGTCATGAGTTTTATGGAAAAGAAAGCATTAAATTTAGATATACTATCAATTATTCACCCAATATATGTTGCACTATGGAATTAAAAACTACTACCAGAGATTAAAATCTGAGATTGGTTCCCAGATCTCTAACACTATTCTCTTTCCATTTCCTATATCATACTCCCTATTGACTTTCCTCAAATGAGCCAACTGGTTTGAGAATTTCATGAGATGTTGCTTGTGAGAGCCCCCAACACAACACATGTCACATAACATGTAGTCATAAAAATCAAATATTCTCCTCTGTTCCTTCTGTATCATATTATCTGCCCTTACTTTATTTCCTTTTTCTTCTATCTCCTCATCTTTCAATTCCTGTTTTTTTTCATTCTTCCATCCTTTCCTCTAAAGAAAAAACAAAAAGAAAAACTAAACACACCATTCCCAATGGCAATGATTTCTTGAATATGACACCAAAAGTACATACAACAAAAGCAAAAACAGATAAATTGGACTATATCAAAAGAAAAATCTTTTGTACATTAAAGGATAAAACCAACAGAGTGAAAGTCAACACACAGAGTGAGAAAATATTTGCAAATCATGGATCTAAGGGGACAACATAAACAAGGACTCCTAAAGGTAAGCAACAAAACAATTTAACTTAAAAATAGGCAACAGATTTGAACAGGCATTTCTCCAAAACTGATACAGAAATGGGAAACAAGAACATAGAAAGATGCTCAACATCACCAACTATGAGGAAAATGCAAATCTAAACCACAATGAGACATCACCACACACACATTAGGATAGCTAGTATCAAAAAAACAAAACTAAGAAGTTTTGGCAAGGATGTGGAGAAAGTGAATCCCTGTGCACTGCTGGTGGGAATATAAAATAGTACAGCTACTATGGAAAACAGTTGCACAAAAATACTAAAAATTCAATTACCACATGAACCAGCAATTCCATTTCTGGGGATGTACTTTTAAAGAACTGAAAGCAGAGTCTCAAAGAGATATTGCTACACTCATATTCGTAGTATTATGCACAATAGCCAAACAGTGGAAGCAAACTCAGTTCTTTTCCATTGTGAAGTCTCCAATGCTTACAAGCGTGGAGCTGCATCTCAAGAACTTTCCACAAGTTAAACTACCAAGGCGTTTCTCCAGGGTGACCTCTCTGATGTATACTGAGGTTTGAGCTGTCCCTAAAAAATTGTTCACACTTGCGGCACCCATAAGGCCTTACTCCAGCAAAACTCCTATCTTTAATGAGACTGGCATTGCCACATTCACTGCACCCATAAGGCTTTTATTTACTGTGGATTTTCTGGTGCTCAACAAGTTTATACTTGAGAATGAAAGCTTTCCCACATTCACAACACACATAAGGCCTTTCTCCAGCGTGAATTTTCCGATGTTTACTGAGACTGGAGTTAAAGCTATAGGATTTCCCACATTCACTGCACTCATAAGGCCTTTCTCCGGTGTGCATTCTCTGGTGATACACAAGTTGAAGCTTTCTAAGAAAGGCCTTTCCACATACACTGCAGTGATAAGGCCTTTCTCCAGAGTGGATTTTCTCATGCTCAAGAAGCATACATTTGAAGAAGAAGGCCTTCCCACATTCACTGCACTTATAAGGCTTTTCTCCACTGTGAACTCTCCGATGTTTAATCAGGTAGTAGTTGCATGTAAAGAATATCCCACATTCCCGACACTCGTAAGACTTTTCTGCAGTGTGGGTTTTCTGATGCCTAACAAGTGTAATATTGCTGTGGAAGGCTTTACCACATTCACTGCACTCATAAGGCCGTTCTCCAGTGTGGACTGTCTGATGCTGAAGGAGCTGGAACTTTCTAATGAAGGTCTTCCCACATTCAGTGCATGCATAAGGCTTTTCTCCAGTATGAATTCTGCAATGTGTAACGAGATTGGATTTGTATGTAAAGACTTTGCCACATTCACTGCATCCATAATATCTTTCCCCAGTGTGAATTCTCTGATGGTTAATGAGACTGCAGTTGTCTGTAAAGACTTTTCCACATTCACTGCACTCGTAAGGCATTTCTCCAGTGTGAATTCTCCGATGTTTAATCAGATTGGAGTTGTATTTAAAGACTTTGCCACATTCACTGCACTCATGCCTTTCTCGAGTGTGAATTCTCTGATGTTTAACAAGACTGGAATTGCATGTAAAGACTTTCCCACATTCTCTGCACTCACAAGGCCTTTCTTGAATGTGAATTCTCTGATGTTTAATGAGACTGGAGTTGCATGTAAAGATTTTTCCGCAGTCTCTGCACTCATAAGACCTTCGCCTGGTGTGAATTCTCTGATGTTTAATGAGACTGGAGTTCTCTGTAAAGACTTTCCCACACTCACTACAATCATTAGGCTTATCTCCAGTGTGAATTCTCTGATGTTTAATGAGATTGGAGTTGTATGTAAAGCCTCTTCCGCATTCTCTGCACTCATAAGACCTTTCTCTAGAGTGAATTCTCCGATGATTAATGAGATTGGACTTGTCTGTAAAAACTTTCTTGCATTCTCTGCACTGATGAGGCGTTTTTCCAGTATGAATTATCTGATGTTTAATGAGACTGGAGTTGTATATAAAGACTTTACCACATTCTCTGCACTCAAAAGGCCTTTCTCCAGTGTGAATTATCTGATGTTTAAGGAGACTGGAGTTGTAGATAAAGACTCTCCCACAATCTCTGCACTCATAACGCTTTTCTCTACTGTGAATTATCTGATGTTTAAGGAGACTGGAGTTGTATGTAAAGACTTTCCCGCATTCTCTGCACTCATAAGGCTTTTCTCTACTGTGAATTACCTGATGCTTATTGAGATTGGAGTTGTATGTAAAGACTTTCCCGCATTCTCTGCACTCATAAGGGCGTTCTCTAGTATGAACTGTCCGGTGCCTAATGAGACTGGAATTGCATATAAATACTTTCCCGCATTCACTGCACTCATAAGGCCTTTCTCCAGCATGAATTATCTGATGTTTAATGAGACTGGAGTTGTATATAAAGACTTTCCCACATTCTGGGCACTTAGAAGGCCTTTCCCTAGAGTGAATTCTCTGATGTTTAATGAGTTTGTAGTTGTACCTAAATAATTTCCCACACTGGCTACACTTAAAACCCTTTTCTTTAGTGTGATTTTTCTGCTGTTTACTGAGGTCAGAGTTGTGCCTAAACAATGTTCTACTTTTGCTGCACTCATAAGGTCCATCTGCAGTGTGGACTTTCTGGTGCTTCACAAGTATTTGTTTACGGCTAAAGGCTTTCCCACACTGAGTGCACTTGTAATCATTTTGTCCACTTTCAAAGGGCTCCTCGCGCTCAGTGTCCCTGGGTGGCTTCCCCTCACTGTGAGGGGCTGGGAGCTGGAGAAGGACTGGGCTGGTTGGGAAGCATTTCCCACCTTCAGTGCATGCCAATGTCCTCTCTGTCATGTGAACTCCATTGTCCATGACAAGGGAAATGTTCCTGCTGTCCTTTATGGAAAGTTTATCTCCGGTCTGCTGCTTTGGATGCTGGTGCAGGCTTGTCCCATAAGTGTACTGCCCTTGATCAGGGTGTATCCCATCATGCTCAGCCAGATGCAAAATCTCTTTCAAGAGTGAGCTGCACCTATGACACGGCTGGGTCTTCTGGGTGGATGAACCTGGCTCTGGAGCGCTGACTTGTGACATTCCCACAGAAAAACCTTGCTCAAAAGGTGCCTCTTGATCCTGGGCTCCATGCCAACAACCTGTAAGCAGAGAGATGCTGGTAAACTGCATGTTGACTTTGGTGGCAAGAGGCAACCCCACTAATGAGTGTAAGTCACATCCACAATTAAGTCCATGGGACTGGTGAATGACAACAAGGGCAACAGCCAGTGAGAGGAAGGCTTTCTGTGAAGAGCTGGGCCTGAGAAGCTCACATAACAGGAAGGACACAAGAAAGGGGTAAGGTGCAGGGAGGAGAGGCAGGGTCCCTAGCTCACTCTTCTGCAAGTGGCTTTCAACAAGGCCATGGCTGCTGGTGACTGATGAGCATGGAGCAGATGTGTCCAGATCCAGAAACGTCCGACTGTGACAGTACCTGGTGCTCAAAGACTATTTAGGGATATGTACAGACCTCTCAACACCTTCAGCATAGGTCAAATGTTGGAGAGCCCTGCAAAGGGAGCCGTGGAAGAGAACGGGTGAGAGTGGAGGTCAGAAAGCTGTGTGTCTGTTGGGGGAAAGACAGGACCCAAAGTCAAGAGTATAAATGATGATGGGAAAGAAAACATACAAGTAAGATGTGGACATGATTCGTGGGATCGTGGAATGGTGGGCTCAGGAAGGGCTCCCAGCACGATGTGAACTCAGCTCTCACCTCACAACCTTCCCCAGTTCCCATGCACCAGCCCAGGTTCTTTTAAACTTCTCCTGGCATTGTTCTCTTGCCAAGTGCACCACTGTGTCAGGCACCAGGGAGTGGCCAATGTGCATCCAGAGTGAGCCACCCCATGACATTCCAGATTCTAAAGTTACAAGAACTTCAAAGACGAGTCTTCAAAAAAACAATGCCACGTTCCCCAAAACTAGTGACCACGTTGGTGCCTGGAATTACTGGCACAAGCAGGCCCCAAGAAATGTCAGCAAGAGGGAGGGGAAAGGTCTGGGACACAGAGGTTCCAAGACAGAGTCACCCAACAAGGGACAAGCTGTGGGATCTCTCAGACAAACTTCAAGATTTTTGATTACTGAGCCATGTCTTGCAAGCTCTTCAGAGTAGCAAGGATAGGGGACTTGGGGAGAGTGGAAACAGTGCACCCAATTGAGCCCTGGCACCAGTAACACACTTGCCAACAAACCAGGAAAGGCAGTCGTACCCACGGTCTCATGGTGGGAAGGACTGAGCTGCCCAGGGAAAAGGAGAAGAATAGAGCCCAGCACAGGACACTAGGGTGAGTGTTAGTGCCTTACCTATGGATGAGAAATGTGTAACAATCTCCAGCATCACATGATGGTACAGGCATCTCTGAGGCTCATCAAGGAGGTCCCACTCCTCCTGGGAGAAATAAATGGCCACATCCTCAAAGACCACACAGCCCTGTCAAAATTGGGACAGTTCAGTCCATGAGCAGCTTCCTGTTCTGCGTTTTCTTCAATTTCTATTCATCTAATTGCTATCCATGAACTACAGAGCCATGTGCCACGTCCACAGGGCCCTCCATTCATTCTCCTCCTCATGTACGCATCACACTTTGGACTGTACCCCTGTCTCCAGCGCCTCCACAGTTGCAATGTTTTCAGGCCACCTGGTACCACATCACAGACATTTCCATGGCCTCTGAACATGCAACACTGCACATGGAATCTAGGTAGCACACGTCGAGTGAAACCAGCATCCTATTCTGCCCCAGGATGCCCACGTCCCATAGCACCTGGGGCAGCCTCTAGCCCTGACTTGATGGTCTCCCCACCTGGTCCTGCTTGTACTTTAACATAGTCACACAAACCTACAGGAGGACCTCATGATCCTCAGCCCTCTCCCACTTCTGCACTGGACATGTTGCCCCATAAGCAGTCAGAACCTTCCTCTCTCTACCTGAACATCAGTCTAAGCGCAGCTGTACTGACTCCCAAGCACCATCCTCAACACAGGCCTAGCAAACTCCTAGCTCATCCCATTTCCCCTCAAATTCATCTACCAGCCTGAATTAAACCATCCAGACCCCATCAAGAATTACCACAAAACACTGGTCACTCATTAGAGGGGTAATGAGACCCACACTGACCTTACTGCCAACTTTAATCCTGCAATGATGCCTCAGCATCCATCTAGTGACCCTTCTCTTCTTGGAAGCCTTTCATTTTTTTATATATAATGAGTTAATTGTTCACAACACTGAAATTGCAGCTGTACATTACTACTCGTCCATCACCATATAAGTGCTCCCCTTCACCCTCTGTGCCCAACACCTACGCCCTCTGCCCCCAGTACCCATTGATCTGCTCTCTTTGTCCATGTGTTTATCTTCCCCATATGAGTGAAATCATCTGGTGTTTGTCTTTCCCTTTCTGGCTTATTTTGCTTAGGATAATACCCTCCAGGTCCATCCATGTGGTTGCGAGTGGGACAATTTTCTCTTTATTTATGGGTAAGCAGCATTCCATTCTTTATCCAATTATCAGTCTATGGGCACATGGGTTGCTTCTGCGTCTTGGCTATTGTGAAGAATACTGCAATGAACATCAGGGTAAATCTCTTTCAAGTGTTGATTTCAAGTACTTTGGATAGATACCCAGTAGTGGGATGGCTGGGTCATGTGATATTTCTATTTTTAGTTTTTTGAGAAATCTCCATACTGTTTGCCATAGTGGCTGCAACAGTTTGCATTCCCACCAGCAATGGATGAGGGTCTCTTTCTTCTACAACCGCTCCAAGATTTGTTATTTTTTGTCTTGGTGATTATAGCCATTTTAATGTGTGTAAGGTGATATCTAAATCTAGTTTTGATTTGCATTTCCCTGATGATTAGTGATGTTGAGCATCTTTTCATGTGCCTATTGGCCATCTGTACATCTTCTTTGCAGAAATGTTTGTTCATACCCTCTGCTAATCTTTTCATCGGGTTGTTTTTTGGTTGCTCAGTTGTGTGAGTTCTTTATATATTATGGAGATTAACCCCTTGTTGGATATATGATTTGCAAATATTTTCTCCCAATTGGTGGGTTGTCTTTCTGTTTGGATCCTGGTTTCCTCTGCCTTGCAGAAGCTCTTTAGTCTGATGAAATCCCACTTGTTTATTTTTTCTTTTATTTCCCTTGCGGAAAACTTTCTTACTCCCCCACCCTCCCTCTCACACATACCTCACCTCACAACCACTGCACTTCCTCATCTGTATTTCTGACGCCCACCACCACCATCCTGGTGCCCAACTGAGAGATCCAGTCCTTGGCCCTTTCCTTCACCTTCTTTGCTCCCCAATGGCATCACCACCATAACCTGAACAGGCCCACTCACAGATCTGACCCGCAGTTTCATTCCAGTTCACAGTGGATACTATGTCATGGCTGTTTCCAACCTGAACACCTCTGCTGAACACCAGACCTGCGTGTCCAACTGCCAAAGGGACACGTCCACTTAAGAGTCTCTGGAACATCTGGGATGTGGCCAAAATATAACTCTTCATTTTCCTCCTAAAAATTCGTCCTACTGCTCATTTCAACCATCTCATTGATGGAACAGGCATCCTTACAAACAAGGCCAAAAATCTTGGAGCCTCACTGACTCCCCTGCCCTCTTCCATCCCACCTCCCAGGCTTCCTGGCTCACTACATCATAAACTGTGGTTCTAGGTTCAAAACAAATCCAAAGGCCAAACTCTCATCCCACCTCCACAGCCACCAATCTTGTGAAGCTCCCACCAACACTCACCTGCACTGGGGTAGGAGCTTCCTCCCAGATCTCCCTGCCTACACCCTCACCCCTACTTCTCTCCTCCACTTGAGCCAGAGACAGCCTACTCAAATTGGATCAGATCACATCACTCCTCTGCTCCAAACCTTCCCTCATTCCCATCGCCCTGCACATTAGAGGTCCAGAAGCTGAGGCTGTCATTCCAGGCCTGATCCCTGGGCCACCACCACCCAATGCCAGCTCCATATTCCCAGAAGATACAACAGAGACTTGCAGCTTCCTGAACATTCCAGCTCAGTCTCACCTGTAAACATTGAACAGTTTGGATCCTGTGCCCAGGACTCCCCGTCAAATGTTATCCCAACAGTTGTCAGAAAGGGAAACAGCACCGTACAACCTGAGAGTGAGGTCAGGACCTCTGGCCTGGAGAAATCACATTGCCCTCTCACCCAACAGTGGAAGGATAGGCGAAGAGTCTCAGAACATCAGCGTTCCCTATATGGTGATGTCAAAAACACTGGAGTGATAGTGAGGTGAGCAAAGGCCTCTACTCACCTGTGCAGGGTCCATAAACATTTCTGCCACCGACATGGGACCCCATAGGAGGGAGGCCATGAGAAATGGGCAACCATAGTAGGATCCTACAGGCTGAGCTGCACCACCTCCTATGCCTGTCCTGGTACAAAGTGATCTCAGGCAGATGGATGGTCTAACCTTAGCTCTTCAGACCTCAATGCTGCTTCTTACCAGCTGTGTGACTTTGAACAAGGACTGAATCTCCCTTAGCCTCAGTGCCCTCATCTGTAAAATCAGGATAAGAATGGTTTCTACCTTATAGGGTTGATACTGATCCAAGCCTGCATGACAGACACTACAGATCAGCAATTACTGTCCACAGGATTAACAGTTTTGTTTATTATTTCAGTGCAATTGAAGTAACAGGATTTAGAAACTTGGGTATTTTTCCCACTTTTTGATGTTTAAAAAGATGTGATATATATATAAAGCCTTCCAGTGTAAGGAAATACCTAGAAGTAAATTTAAGTCCCTACCAATCATTAAGTGTTTGAATAAGTTTAACTTAATAAATATGTTCATCTCTAATTGTCTACCAATTGTACATACTCAGAGAAATACTGCTTAGCCGGTACTTAATAACAGTTTCACATGCTTTTAACTTATCCAGTTGTAAGGAGGAGCTGAGCACGCAAGTCAAGCTACTAGTCCTTTCAGCAACCGGCCTACCTGCACCACAGTCCTCTGAGGGAGCCTGCAGAGGCCTTGACTGGACTGCGGACCACCATCTTGCTCTGAAGCCTGGAGGAGGTGAGGCTGCAGTGCCCTCGTCTGGGACCCAGCTGCTCCACCAGCCTGGCTGACCTTTCCCTTTGTGCACAGGGAGCGGCCTGAGGGTTTGCTCAGCCTACAGCCTGGAGAATCGAAACCACCTCACACCTCAGTCTCCATCTCAGGCCAATTCCTTACCCATGTAGACCTTTCTTTCTAGAGACACAGGCCAGAACCCTCCAAGGAAGGCTGTCTCATTTCCGGACGAAGCATCAGGGATGCCCACCTCCCGGTCCCTCGTCCCCCAAGTCTCAGCCCTCCCCTGCCTCAACACGGGGCCCATCTGAAACCACCACCTTCAGACACTCCCTCCTCCATCAGACACTCCTCCTCCCAGAACACACCCTGGTCCAGTCCACACCCTCCACCCTTGCACATCTGCAGCCCAGCCTTCTGCCTGCTCTCCGAACCTTTATGGCCACCTACCCAAGCGACGTCTCCACCTTCTCACAACTCCATCCCAAGACCTCTCAGAATCACCGCATCCAGAAGGAACCCGTCATCTTCTCTGTGAAGCCCGCTCCCTGCACTCACTTCCCCATCTCTGTTCTTTTCAAGGTTCAGGCAAAAAGAAACTGGGGATGCTTCTCTCCCTACTTTTGCTCACCGCTACACTATACGCAGCAGAGAATGCTGTGACCCTAAAAGTCGGTCCCAAATCCCATCACATCCCTGCTCTACGCCACGGCTCTGGGCCAGTGCCTCCCTCACCCCCTGGACTCCACTGCCCTGTCCTCCACCCCATCTGGCCCCTTTAAGCGCCTCTTTCGGCCCGCCCTGCAGCTTCTCCTGAGTCACAACCCCCCCCCCCCCCCCCCCCGCCCGCCACTGCGGGGCGGGACTCCTCCTCCCCCCGGCTCTGTGGGAGGCATTCCCCCACTCTAGTTACCGTTAAAATGTTACAGAGGTTTTCTCCTAAAAGCAATAAATAATAAATAACTGATGAGTAGAAGGGCCGAGGGGTGCAGGGATGCCCCTTGGTGAAGAACGGCCGGTCAACACCCCTAATATTTTCTGAATTCTATGTGTAGGGGAGGAAGACATTTCCTCTTCCCAAATGGGGGTTCGTCTGGCCAGAGAACAAATTAAATTCACATGAGACAGAATAGCAAGAGAAAATTAAACAAAGCTTTAGGAGGAACCGTGGCTCGGGGCTTTTCTTCCCGAAGGAAGAAAGGGCACTGAAGAAGTGGGGTGCACAGAGTGGTTGTATACCCCCAAACAGGGTGTTTCATATGTGATTGAAATGTCCCTCCCACAATAGTCACAAGATTGCCCTGTCAGCACAGTGCTTGATGGACACAGCAGGTAGTGGTCTGCTGTCTCAGAGGGCGTAGCAGGAGGCAAGTCGATTGTCTGGAGCTGGGTGGTCACAGGTGAGCACAGCAATCAGTTCCTAGCCTAAGGAAAGATGCTTAATCTTTAAGAAATGCCAAAGTTGGGAGGGGGAGGGAAGTCAGTTACAGGAGGTTACCAGACAAGCACAATAAAATGCAGATTTTAAGTCCTTGCCTTTGGCATTGATTAAGAGTTTTTAGAGAGAAGGTCATCTCCTTTCTTCTTCCTGGTACAGAGAGGGAGGCACCTTTTACAGAGAGAGATTTACCTTACAAATGTAAAGGTGTCCTAACAAAGGGCAAGTTCCATTCCTCCTTCCCTGTCCCAGTTTATCAAAAGCAATCAGCCTCAAATAATCCTGATGCCAAAGAGACATATCTTGGGGTGGCCAATTTCAGATCCCTACATATGCATGCTTTCTATCAAGGTTATGTCTATACTTATTTCTGTTTTTTATTCTTGAAGATATACAGTTTAGCTTAGCTTTTCAGCCCTTTACTTTACTAACAAAATAATATTTTCTCCGGCAGTGTGCTTAAGGGACTGTTAGCTCTACAATCTAAAAGACAAAGGAATGCTTTCACCCCCTAAAGGGTGCGAAAATGTAAAGATGTTTAACTGCCCGCTGAGAATGCAGATAGCCCTGGGGATAAGATACCCTGGAGTCGCCTTTTGTTCCCATTAATCATCTACACTAATGGCGTAAATGATTGAGGGAGGCAGGGATGGCTCCCCCAGGATGTAAGCAGACGGAATGCTGTCCTGTCCGGAGGCCTGGACCTTCTCTCTTTGGTTTAACTTTACCATGAATTACAACAGATATCTAGGTACCTATCTCTTTTAGCTTAGAGACAACAAACAATAGTTAATTGCGGAGAAGACGACCATTAACCTTATGCTCTATAGAAGAGAATGCTAATAAATATTCTTGTGCTCTTTTTTTACTTCCTTATCTCTCTGAGAATACTTGTAGAGCTATTTCTGTACTAATCCTGAAAAATATAAAAACGACACTTGTGCACAGTAAAGTTGGACTTGCTAACACCAACCCAAGTCTCACGTCCTGTTTATTTTCCCCTCATTTCGCCGACGCCATCTCTCCCGCAGGAACCTAGACTCTGCCGAGGCTGGAGCCCAGCACGGCTCCCTGTGGACAAGGCCCCCACCCCCACCCCCCGCGCACCGCCGCAGGCTGCCGACGCCGGAGCCCCCCGCAGCCTCGGCCCGGCCGGCCCTGACGGAGCCCCGTCCACACTTCAGCCCAGCGGCTCCCACGGCACCGCGCCCGCCCCTCCACCTGGGCTCCAGCGCTCGGAGGCGGGAGTCGGGCCGGGGGAGGCCCGGAGACGCGCCACCCACCTCAGGCGACGCCATCAGCGCGGCCTCCGCCACCAACCAGCGGACGGGCGGGGCCGGGAGCAGGGCCGCCGCGTCCCCACCGGTTCTATCGGGCCTCACAGCCGCCTCCGCATAGCGGGGACAAGGTCTCCTCTCCTACTTTCCATTCCCTTTGGCCCCGAGTCAGGACTCACGACTCCATTACCGGATGAACAAACCCGGTAAAACACAAATGGCCGACACGACACGGAAGCGCCGGAAGTCCCGCCCCCACGGGCTGCGGACGCCTGGAATCGTCCCTCTGCCAAGCTGTCATTGGTTACCACAGTCGACGCTGCACGCCGCACAACTTTCTGGGTAATGTTGTTTCCACGACGGTAGCCGAGCTGTCTCAGAATGTGGGTGGTTCCTCATTTCTTGGATAAAGGGCATTTGGCGACGAGAGGGGCCGTGGGGATGTTGTTCCAGGGCTCCAACCTGGGAGGGAAAGCGCTTGGGGTCAAAGGAGTCATTCCAGATTTCCTTGCGGTGCAGTCTAGGACTTCAGAGAAATGTTTACACACCTGTTTGTTTGCTTGTTTTTTTTGAGAGGTGAGTTTTACTTGACCCAAAGTGAGGATTATAATCTGGGAAGGCTTTTCCCAGAAAGAAAGCGTTTTTGAGATTCATGGTACAAATGGTAGGCAATGAGAAATGAAGATATTCATTAAGTTAAACTTAGGGAAACACGATGATTGGTAGGAACTTTACTGTACATTTGAATTGGAGTTGGAGTCCAGAGGGGAAGCCCTCATGCACTACCACTGGAAGTCAATTACAGGAAGAATTGTCAATTACAGACCTCAACAGGAAGAAATATACATTGCATCCCAGACAGAAATTGACTACCCCAGCAACTCAGCCAATTAGAAACCATCACCGCCTGAACTCGTTTTTCTCTGACGGACTTTTGTTCAAAACAACCACTCCCAATTTCCTTCTTTTTCCCTATAAAATAACGTTCCTCTCTTTTCATTGTTGGACTTGCCTATGGCTTTTCCTATAACTTGCTTGTCCCAAATTGCAGTTCTTTACTGTTCATGAATAAAAACCATTTTGCTGGTAAAATAACTGGCAGTTTTATTTTTTTAGGCTAATGGAAGACTAAGAATAAAGCGCTTATTTTTCGTATTCAGGAAAGAAAAAGAGTGTTCTTTCGCCAAATTCTAGTCATGAACAGAAACCGAAGTTTACTGGAGATAACTTTGGATGACGTCTCATAGTCAACCAGTCAAAAACAGTCTCACCCCAGTAAGAGCGTCTGAAAATTAGCAAATCACTGACAGTCCCAAACTTCTAAAATTCAGCCAGACAGTTTTTCGGCCCTAGTCCTAAAAGGTAGCCAATTAGTGACAACCCCAGGCTCGCGGGCAACAGCCAATCAGCAAGTGCCTCACTTCAATATCCCGGGTTCTGAAAGTCAACGAGTGGGCAGTGGCAACCACAGTGACACGCCTGAAAGTCCCTCAGTCCTTAAACACGCCAATTTCTGAAAGCCCACCAATTCTGGATTACCAGACTTCCCAAAAGCTTAAATGAGAGCAGCTCTGGCTTTCTTTGAGGAGACTGCCTGACAACTAGAACTCTCCCTTGCAGACAAACAGGAAGTTCACTTTTTTCTTTTTTGTATCAGATACCAAGTTCAATTCATTGTTAGTTCACAAGTTTGCACAGCTTTCAATGGGTCAACTTCTATTTACACTTAGTTATGAGTTTGGACTTGTGAGTAGTATGTGAACTGACATAGACGTGAGATTGAATAGGCAACTTTTCTATTCTTACTGAAGTTTCTATTATCTATTTTTTGTGTATACTGAATACAAAAATGCCAAAAATAAGTGTAAATTTTGTGATGAATTTCCTTAAGAGTGGTTATTTACTAAATGTGGTAAAAATCCTCTTCAAGGTCTTTGTGTGGTATGCAATTGTTCATTCGATATTGAAAGTGATGGACACATATAAATCAACATTACTAACAGTTAAGCACGAGAGATGTATGATTTCCTCAACTAGTATCAAAGCAAGTAAAAAATAATTGTTTAAGAGAAATTCAGAATAAGAAGGTAAAATAATAATAGAAGTTTTAAGGAATTCCCACACTGTATATCATCATTCCTCCTGCTCACGCTACTGTTGAGCATGTGTCCCATTCATCAATATTCAGTGGACTAAAGAACAAGATAAATGGGATGTGTCCACTGTAGAAGCTGTGTTACAATCTAGTATAGTTATCATGGAAGTCCCACTGACATATGGTCTGCACTTCCTGTCACCACAGACCCCAGCCTTCCACCAGGTAGGGCACCCACAGATGTCCCTTGTGTCTTGCTGCTCAGGGCAAGTCAAGTCCTCAAAGAAATGGCCAGATGGGAGGATCCTCTACAGGATTTCAGGTGGCCTTATAACAAGGCTTTTGAAAAGACAAATAAAATTGCTGCCAATTTAATGGAAACTATAGCTCACATGTGTCCCACTCAGATAAATTGGAAAGCAATTCAGAGAGGCACACATACAAAAAAGGGTGAATTAGGGGCTGGCCCAGTGACGTAGTGGTTAAGTTCACACACTCTGCTTCTGTGGCCTGGGGTTCTCAGGTTCAGATCCCAGGTGCAGACCCAAATACTGCATCAAGCTGTGCTGTGGCAGCATCTCACATATAAAATAGATGAAGATTGGCAGGGATGTTAGCTCAGAGACAATCTTTGTCAAGCAAGAAGAGGAAGATTGGCAACAGTTAGCTCAGGGCCAATCTTCCTCACACGCACACAAAAGGATGAATCAGTCCTTGAATTTTGTGATCACTTTGAGAAAATATTCTCCCAGAATTCAGGAATACTTAAATTTCTTGTAGAAACTAGTAGATTATTTAAATCTATGTTTCTGGATGGACAAGCCGATCCAGTTTCCATCCTGGTCAAGAAGCATGACCCTGAGTGAGCTGCCAGGAGTTCCAATGCTCTGGCAGCTACAGCAAATCACCTAGCCAAGACTTTACAGAAGGACAAAGAAAATCGAGCCACCAGGCTCTTGGCACACCAGGAAGAAGCAGCCCAATTGATAGCCTTGCAATTGTCTCAGCAGAGCCAGGTCCCTAGTCCCCCTTCAGATAAGACTTGTTACTTTTGCAAAACGTCAGGACACTTCAAAAAGGATTGTTTAAAATACAAAAAAAAATGGCTTCAGAATAATCCACGGTCTCAGAGGCCAACCACCTGAAAGATCCATTGCCTCAATCTAGAATAGGGCCACTCCAGGGAACAAAAAGGGGCCTATCCCCTCCTGACAGCTGACCAATCTGGTGAAATCAATTTGACTATAGAAGGGCAGCCATTGATGGCTCTGAGTGACACTGGAGCCACTTATTCTGTCCTCAACCCTGACCGATTTGCTAGACCCCTTCGCCAGAGTACACAGACATTTAACATGGTCGGAGAATCAAATCAGGTGCTTACAGTACCTATGTCTCAACCCCTCTGTTTCCAGTTAGGCCCTTTCCAAGGGTGCCAACCTTTCTTGTTTCCCTTCTTCCCAGTTCATCTCCCAGGGCATGACTCCCTTCAGGCCACTCAAGCCCATATCTCTTTCAACTGTAAAGGACATCCCATCCTCCTCACTGTTAGATGAATGTTCTATGTCTTGCTGCTTATACCCATTTGTCCCACGACTGCACCTTTTACAAATAGTCTCATTGACCTGTCCAGCTTTCCCAGTCAACTTTGGGTTTCCTCTTCCACTGATGTAGGCCATATAATCCCTACTGCTCCTATAGCTACAATCCTCGATCCCTCCAAACCTCTCCCAAACATCAAGCAATACCCTTTAAGTCTGACTGCCATGCAAGGAATTAGGCCTATTGTTCAGGATTTTATAAAAAGAGGGCTCATTGCACCCACCACCAGTCCCTGCAATGCACCAATCCTACCTGTTAAAAAATTAATGGTAGAGGATGGCATTCTATTCAAGACTTGCCTGCTACTAGCAGCATTGTGATACCACAACATCTGATAGTCCCTGCTCCCCATACCTTGCTCTCTCATACTCCTGAGATACCGTCTTTTCAGCTATTGATCTCTGTAGCACATTTTTAAGTGTTCCTGTAGCTAAAGCAAGCCAATATCTGTTTGCCTTTACATGGGACAATCACAAGTATACTTGGATTGTCCTTCCTCAGGGGTATACAGAGAGCCCCACCTACTTTTCTCAGGTCTTACATTCAGATCTCCAATCTCTTGTCTTCCCTGGGAGTTCTACTATCCTTCAATCTTTGGATGATCCTTTACTTTGCAGAGATTCCAGATCTCTGCAGATTGGAGGAAACTACCAATACCCAGATCTGCTCAGCTCAACAGGCAGAACTGCATACTCTCACTTGGGCTTGCACTCTGGCGTCCAGTAAAACCCTAACTGTATATACAGATGGTAGGTATGCCTTTAGGATAGCCCATGACTTTGGTATGCTTTAGAAACAACATGGTTTCCTAAATTCTTCCGGGCAACCCATCAAAAACAAACAATATGTTCTTAAGCTTTTTGACTCTATCCTTGGCAAAGGCAATTACCTTGCCAATGTGAAGCCAAACTGGCAGCATCCTCACAGTCCTACCCAGTTCTTTGTGCTCACCGAATGGAAAAAGGAAAAGTTACTTCTCTTTTTGTTTGTTTGTTTGTTTTTTTGGAGGAAGATTAGCCCTCAGCTAACTACTGCCAGTCCTCCTCTTTTTGCTGAGGAAGCCTGGCTCTGAGCTAACATCCGTGCTCATCTTCCTCTAGTTTATACGTGGGACGCCTACCACAGCATGGCTGCCAAGCAGTGCCATGTCCGCACCCGGGATCCGAACCAGCGAACCCCGGGCCGCCGAGAAGCGGAACGTGCGAACTTAACCGCTGCGCCACCGGGCCGGCCGGAAAAGTTACTTCTTTAGACACTTTACCTGAAGCATAGCAGGCCATGTCTTCTAAGGAAAGGGGGAAATGGATGAGGCAAGGCTATCAGATGGCTCCTACGGATAATCTATTTTGGTGGGCGCCAACTCTAAACCAGTCTCCCAGAAAGCATGCAGAGACCACTACTGGATTATGTGCACAATCTAACATGCTGAAATATTGATAAAATGGTCTCTTGGGCCAGAATATTTTTGGAAACTTCCCCCTAAAATAGCACATAAGATATCTCAGAGGTGCACTGTATGTCCCTAGTACAATCCAGGAAAATCACACATAGCAGC